GCACAAACACTTTGCTAACAAGCAAATATTGGAACTACAGATATGCAAACTGCGATTCAAATTCACTTGAATTGCAGAAGAACTGCACAAGGCCTGACCATGCAAGAAGGGATTGGTCCCCTGATGGAGAGGATGGTTTGAGAAAGGTAATCGTTTGTCCACCTGTGACTTTGACGGCCTGGATCCCGCACTGATCCACACAATCAGTCAAAATACTGATTTTTGCAATAGTTGGCTATATTTAGTTACTGTCATCTGCCTTTCTCCTGAGGCAGTCTCTTCTGGATGAGGACTTCTCTAATAAACACTTCTGAGTCATCTATGCACCTATCAGCCAACGCTGATATCAGAGGGAATGGATGGTGCGGTGGTATATCAGCGGTGAGTATCTCACAGCCTAGCTAGGGAGTTAGATAAATGTGTATCTCCAGTCCTTCCTTGGGCAAGACTCTTACGCATCCTGTAAAATGGCAAGTTAATGATAAGACTTTCTGTAAAAGGTGGGAGTGGCTGAAATCATCTTTTGGCAAGAAGCAAGGTTTTCATGGTTTGGGTTGTTCTGCTTTTTGCTTTTATTAAGTTCCCTTCTGTTGGTTTTAATGCCCCCCCCCCCCTCCCCATCCCATATAAAAGGTTGATCTCCTCCCAGTCAGGCTAATCAGGTTTGGTCCACTTCTCTGCACTCTTGTGATTTATTTGGTCAGTGCCACATACCTGATACCATCTAGTAAAGAGGTAAGATGACTTCTTTCTTCTCCCCTTCCCCTGCCAACCTGTTAGTTTTATAGCAACATCCTCTACATCTCATTAAGATCCCTTCCCCCCTTCCTCTTAACCTCACGGTCTCCTGCCATTCCCCTTTTGTTAGTCTCTGGCAGGTTCTTCTTTTCCGAGGAGGAGCTGAAAAAAACCACGCTGTCATGTTAGAAGGGGACTTCAGAGCTCTCCCACTATGGACTACAGTTATACTTAGTCCCTTTCACTCTTCTTTCTCTACAAGCCATTGCAGGACTTTCACTCACACCACCTTTCATCCATTTTCTGCATCGTCTCATTTGCTCAGAGATTTTTTTTTTTTTGGTCTTCTCTGCAGTTTTCCTCGTAGCGTCTCCCAGGGACTCTTTTCATTAGTAGGCCATCATAAGGTGTTTCAGGGTTCATTTTTATCCTCTTGATTTTCATGAACTGGCAGATATTTTTTTAGCTTCATTTTCGGGCATTCATACATCCTAAGTTTTCGTCATCTGTAGCACAACCATTCTTCTCTTTTTGTGGCTGAGCATTCCTCTTTCTGCAGACAGGCTCTTGCTCAAAGCCTCTTTGCAAAGACAGACCTTCCCGTGTGCTGATGCAGCATGAAATGCATTGGTATGGTAGGCTTCAGCAACACAACTGCTGCTTTGCAAGACACTGTGATCCAGCCATTTCTCCTCACCTCACCACAGCCACAGACGCATGCCCTGACAAGACGCCTTTGCTGCACTACTCCTCTGGTGGTAGCAGCCCAGCTTTCTACCCAAGGCAGTGAACAGGTACAGAAAACTGCTTAGGAAGCATTCGCTACTTGAAAGTTTTTCTTTCAAGGAAGGACTGGGCAAAAGGCGATAGGCCAGATAGGTCCTTTCTTCAGGCCAGTTCCATATGAATCAAGCTAAACTGGCATTCATAAGGCTGCAGACTTGGTCCCTGGTAACATTATGATTGAAAGATCAGAAGCGTATTCAAAGTGTGGCATGTGTGCTAAGGACAGGTCGACAGACCTCAAAAAGTTACTAGTGATGGGAAATCATCCCTTAACCAAGAAGGGTTCTTACAGGGTAGAAGAGAGATTGTATCTGGATTCAATTCTATTCACTACTTCATCTGGAAATCAAGAAAAATCACCACTGATGAAATTCAAAGGAGACACCTAGTTTGATGGGCTAGAAAATAATGAGTAGGACAAAATAGGCATGCAGACACACAGTGGTTTACTGAGGCAAAAGCATTACAGCCAAAACTAAGGCAGAACAATGCCTACAGAGCAAGAGATGTTTTTTCCTGAAAAGCAGGTACTTAAAGATGTTATTGTGGGTGAAGAGCTAAACTCACTCCCCTAGTGCAACAGCATGTCAAAAAAGAAGTTAATGAGGCCCTTACATGGACAAAAGAGCAGCAAGAAGAACAGCTTCTAGTTTCTGTGAGCAGAGCTGATGAAACTGGTACCACAATGTTGCCTGCTCATCTGATGTTCACATCTTTAAAGGACTGCTAGTAAACTGAAGAGAAGACGTACATGATCTGCAGAGCAATAACCTGCACCAGAGGAACATCTCCCAGTGACAGATTTAAAAACCTCCGCAGCTTGTGAAAGACGACTGAGAAGCTACTTTCCCTAGAAGTATACTTTATTCTGGCAAAACATGAAACCAGTAGATCCCACATCTCATGCTGTCTTCACATCAAGCTTTTCTGGAAGAAACACTTCAGCAAGTTACTGGGCAAAGTAACAATGTCAGAGGCATATAGGATAGCAGCAAATAGCATAACTGAAAGAAAAACTATACCTGTGTCTGGAATAATACAGGAGGTTGACCTAGAAGACCTATCACTTCTCCTGGACTGAGATCTATGATTCTTCCTACCCTCACAACCACCTCCTGTAGCTTTCTTGTTTCTGCTTCTCATTGTGACTCTTCAGTTTCTCCTGCTAACAAGCAGGCAGCCTCTCCTGTTGAGAAATGACTTTTACTTCTGCTTGGCCGGCTGTTTCTGGGACATAGAGGAGAGCAGCACTTGCCAGCTGCTAGCACAGCTGTTCTGCCGGCGGGACTCAAAAACCATCCCATTTGACTAGCGCATGTCCTCTGTGCTCTCTTCTCCCTTCCCAGGATCCCCCAAAGGACGGAGAGGGCCTACGGCGCTCTCAGGAAGAATTCATAGAAGCTGCTGAGCTTCCTGCTGTGACAAGAACCACGGTAAACCTCCGCACCCTCTGCCCTCACACCACACACGTGCGCGCACAACCTACTTCTTATTTGGTATCTTGACCAGTACTACCGTTTGTGCGAGGTCAGCGGTAGGAGGTAGATTTGCTGTATATAAAACCCGCTACGGGAGACATCATGCAAAAAGGTAGCGTGAATTAACATGCCTTCATTTCTCTTCTTAGCAAGATAAGTAGGAGTTAGGAAAATCAAACAACAATCCCTACACTAAACCTATACAGCTCTTTTCTTCTACAATTACATAGCATAACTTGCACAATTAGTTATCTGGCAGAGAGGGACTAGAAACACACCTCCCACACACCCGCCAAGTGCCTTCCTCCTGTCTGCTCACTACAGATGATAATTTGATTATTTTTTTCTGAGATTAAGATGCCTTTTACAATCCATAAGAAAGAACAAGGCTTCTCTTGAATGAGAGCTGCTTAGTGACATCTACTTTTAATGATTATTGGGTAAAATGAAGCTGCTTTAACTCAGTAATCAGTGGAAACTTTGCATTTCCTTACACATCATAAGATGTGTTTAATTTTATTTCTCAGTTTAAGGGACCATCTCTGATGAGCATTGAGGAGAGAAGCACTTGTGATACAATCTGTAAGGAAGTACGAAGTTTCCGTTAAGAGGCACAGCTACCTAGTGACATCTGCTTTTTGCAGCTGCTGGATATCGCTGTGTAGGCAGCACCTCCCTGACAGAGCTACCTGGTGAGAGGCAAGCGATTCTGCACCCTTAGAGCAAAGAAGCTTCTTCACATCATCTGAGAAGAAAGGCGGAGAAAAGGTAAAATTCACAAAATGCAGTTGCTGAAACAGTTGTGTATCGTGTACATTCATCATGTGTGTGACTGTAATGCTTTTTCATTTACCTTTTGTTGCTGCTCAGGTAATTTTTAAAGCAGTTTTAAGAACTCCTGCATCATCAGAAGTGGGTGTATGTACGTTATGTGAGCGTATGTTTTCAGTTATAAATATTTAAGTGTATTATGCTGAACCTAGATTAGATTCAGGTATGGTTAGGTGTAGTTGTTGCAAAGCTGTCATCTCTAGACCATTGGTGTCAAACAGTTTTGTCCCTGTGACTTGTATTCAGACTAAATTCCTCTCTGTGTATAACGGAACAGAACTGTAGGCTGGAGAGGTGCCTGGGACTACACACAGCAGGGGTCAGGTTAATGATAGTCAATGTTTGTTGTTATGTAGCAGCAACGTACAGTGCAAAGACAAATAAAGAAATGATACTCGCTTTTCTTCTGCTTTCCATTCATAAAGACAAAGGGGAAAGACATAACTCAGGCTTAGAAAAATTCTGGTATGTTACACTAACAAAATGACACTTGCTGTGATGTGAATAACACATACAGTAATACATCAGCAATATATTTGCACTGTGTCTAAGTTACTTACCTCAAAGTAACATCGCTTAAAACTCTGTCCCCGCCTATTAGAAAAGAACATACATATGAAAATGACAAATTCCTGTTATTCATTTAGCCACTGAAGACAGCACTTACCGAAAAATCATGTTAGCTTTCAGTAAGCGTAATTTCATTAGAAGGAATAGTCAGATGCATTTTTATTACTGTCTTTTTATGGCAACGTTTGCCTGATTGGAAAGGTGGGTAAAAATACTGAACTGCTATGAATAGTGGCTTTGCTTTTTCCTTTATGCTGGGATTTATGCCTTTCTGATTTGGTATCTGTGGACCGTATCTTTCATTTCTATTTGCTTTCCTCTCCGCCATTTGAACAATGTTCTGTGTGCTTGACATCCAAGTTGCACAGTGTTGCAAGGACTGAGCACATGCATGTTAAGGACAGTACATTTCGCAAGTGTGCTTAGGCATCCCATAATGCTTAAATAGTGTTTGAGAACCTGTAATGAGAAGTGCGCTGGAACTGCAAGTTAGTCATTGCTAGTGATTCAGGCTTGCGGAGTGACCGCACAGTCTTTGCACACTGAAAGTCACTGACATTTTTGTATTCTTTCCTTCTCAGGAACCGGGGAAAAAACATGAGTTCTTCAAGTACAGAGTCCTTTGAAGTTGAAATCTCAACCTTATATGACTATTACGATAATTATAACGATGCTCCCAAACCATGCAGTAAGGAAAGCGTCAAGAGGTTTGCAGCCTCCTTCCTACCTGTTCTGTATACCCTAGTATTCCTGGTCGGGCTCATGGGAAACGTTCTGGTCATTGTGGTCCTCTTCAAATACAAGAGGCTGAAGAGCATGACTGATGTGTACCTACTAAACCTCGCCATCTCAGATTTGCTCTTTGTTTTATCCTTGCCATTCTGGTCTTATTTCACAATAGACCAATGGGTTTTTGGAACTCCCTGGTGTAAAATAATTTCATGGATTTACCTGGTTGGGTTTTACAGTGGAATATTTTTTATTATGCTTATGAGCATAGACAGATACCTGGCAATTGTTCGTGCAGTGTTTTCCTTGAAAGCAAGGACTGCCTTCCATGGCTTGATTACTAGCCTTGTTGTATGGCTAGTAGCTCTTTCAGCCTCAGTTCCAGAACTTGTATTTAGAGAATCTTTTAACGAACATAATTATACTACCTGCAAGCCGAGATATCCAGGTAATTTCACAGCATGGAAACTTTTTTCCACTTTGGAAATCAACACTTTAGGGCTCCTAATCCCTTTTATAGTTATGACATTTTGCTACTCCATGATCATTAGAACATTAGTTCACTGTAGAAATGAGAAAAAGAATAAGGCTGTGAGGATGATCTTTGCTGTCATGGTCGTGTTTTTCTTCTTTTGGACCCCTTACAACATTGTTATTTTCTTACAACTGCTGGAAATTATGGGAGTCATTAGAGACTGTCAAGTGAGCAGGAATCTGGACTATGCTTTCCAGGTAACGGAAATCCTTGGCCTTTTTCACTGTTGCCTCAATCCAGTCATCTACTTCTTCATGGGGGAAAAATTTAAGAAGTACCTGAAGATGCTCTTTAAGAACTGGCGGTTACCTGGAGATATTTGTATGTGGTGTGGAGTTCACATCACTTACCACACCGAATCCACCAATTCATTCCATACACAGTCTACAGGGGATCAAGACGCTCTGTGATGGGTTTCAGGCCAACCACTGAACTCACCAGCAAGCAAACTGACAAATGCAGGAACTTTGAAAAGCTAAGCAAACGCACAGTCATTTAACAATAAGCTAGTGCCGGATAATTACTTACTTCAGCTTTGATTTCTGCCTCTAGATTTTCTGAATATTATGACAGAAGGTGTCCTAGATGTGAAACATGGAAGATGGACATGCAAGTTTTATCTGCTGTGATTACAAATCGGAGGTAACAGCTGCCTCAGCTCTCAGCAAAGCACTGTGCCGTGCTGCTTCTTTTTCACCAGCATCAAGACGGAGGTTGGCCTGCATGGAGGGGCAGAGGAGAGACAGCTGCTTGTCATCAGCACGTGCACTTGGAAAATACATTCGTTTATTCAAGAAGGATGGTTATTACCATATCTTTTTATTCTACAGTTGATCTGTGTAGGACTTGTTCGCTCTGACTCTTAGCAAGCTATTAACAGTACCTGCTACCGTTAAATGTTTCATCTCAGGGAGAGGATACACCCTCACCCTCTGTCATTAGGAAAAAGGACACAAAATATATTCTTTATGGGCACAAAGACGCAAAGCAAATGCATTACATTGTGTTATAGACACCTTTTCTCTTAGGTATCCAAGTTGCCACATATGCCTATGTGAAGATGTATATATAGGCATCTTGAATTACTTTATCTCTGTAATTCAGGATAGCAATTCTGTATTTTAATTAACACAGAAAATGTTTAAAATGTTTTTGAATAAAAGTGTTGTTTAAAACTTTTTTTCCAGCATGTGTGAATAAATTTGAAGCATCTTGGTTAAAAGTATATCTTTTAAAGCGAATGTTCTTTGTTCCAGAAGTACTTAACCCCAAGACTCAATTTTCATTCATTGGAGAGGTATCTGGCAAAACAAAAGAAAGTAAAAACACAGATTGTGTAGAAACGATCTGTCATAACTTAGAAACCACACAAAGAATCCCAGCATTTGATAACAGCAAAATGTGAAGTGTGATGCCCCAGTAGCCACTCACAGATCTACGTGATATTAATCAGAGATCTGGAACAGGAAGGAAACTCACACAGCAATGTTTAGATTTTGGCACAAAAATAATTTAAAAAGAGGCAAAAATCAGTAATGTGGTAGCAGACAAAGTAAGAGTTGAAAAATACGTATTGGAAGATATTTCTGGTGTGTCTATTTGCTGGACGACAACCATTTAGCAGGAAGACTTTTATTTTTCTTAGGCTGTCAATAACAAAGTGCCTGCTCAGCATTCAGGGATGGCTGCGAAGAGCAGACCAGATATTAAAATGTGTCAGGAAAGGGCTGGAGAAGAAATGTAAAAATACTGTAGTGCCATTGTTCTCACCACCCTGAATAAGAAACGTAAGTGGAAGCTCACCTGCATGTGACCTCTTTTGTGATACAAGACTGAAAATAAAAAGCAGCACACTTAAATACTCATGCACACACACATATCCATCATAATTTTGGGAATGCATTACTATTAGCAGTTTGCTGAGGCTCACAAGCAAGGATCTGCATTAATGCAGATAACGAGAATAGCTGTGGAAGACATTACTTGGGGTAAGAAAGTGTCTTCCTTTCCAAGAAAAAGACTATAGATTCTAACGACTCAAAACTTTACAAGCCACTGAGTAAATCTGTTGGGAAAAACTGCTGCAAGGGGTGGGTCAAGCCACCCATTACCTATTTTGAAAAGGAAGAGGAAGACGAATTGCAAGTGTCAGGTGCTTCAAAGTCTCACAGATGTCACTGAACCAAACAACATGTCACTCCCAAGCCAGCACGGCACATTGTCCTCGCAGATGTGATACTGATGGTGCAGGCACTGTGAACTATCGAGCTATTCATCAGTCAAGTGCACAGACTAACCTGGAAGCCAGACAGCGCACCGCAGTCATTTTTTTCTTGGTCCTACTCTGTGATCCTTCTAGTCAGTAAGAATAAACGGGTCATTTTGGGAAACCTTGCTTTCCAGACCAGGGGAAGGGCTGCCTGTGCTGGCCTGGCAAAAACGATGGTCAGCAAGCAAAAAGCAAGCTGAAGGTTCTTGGCGACCGTGAGGTAAGAGAGGTCCAGGCCTAAGAGCGGTGTTGAGGAATGGCACCGAGACGGCCAGCAGCTCGTAGGCTGGTCCGGCTCTTGGGCACACGCCCTGTGGTGGGGGAGGAACGCCGAATCTGCTCATGTGTGGAATTAATGGGCCGCACCCAGCGGCCGTGCAGCATTGCCATAAATGGAGCTAGCGTAAAGCCCCTTTTCCACACAAAACTCAAAGGTACTTCACATCGCTGCTCGGGTTTGTGCCCCACAGCCTGTGCACATGTGCCTTTGGTGCAGAGGGTGCCTGGTGCAGCCAGAGCTCCCCCCCGGGTGAACGTTGTCCTTGTTTCTCTGTGCAAATAACCCCTTCCAGTCCTCTCAGTAATACTCACAGCTACTCAATGTGTGGGCTGGATGAGCAACCCAGCTGAAAGTTGTGCCCTGAGCAGGTTTGCTGAATTGGCTGCAAGGGGGAGCTCACCTTTAAGTGATGGGCTCAGGAATCCAGGTCCTGGGACTGGAGCTCACCAAACCTGGGTGGTTTCATCCTCTCTATCACCTGGAACAAAGCTTCCTCCCCCATGCACCAAGCTACAGTGGATAATGCCACTCCTCTTTTGAGAGAGGGCTTTGAAGTCTGCTGGTGAGAAAGGACAAGATAATAGTATTAATACAGACAAAAATAAAGCAGGGATTTTCAAAATGTCAGTTGACCAAAGATGTCACTTTAGCTGAACAAGAGTTTCCAAGCAACGAATGATGGTATGTACAGACTTACTGAACCATGAAAGAGAATGGATAGACGTTTGAGTCAAGCAAAGCTGACTCATTCGTAAACCCACATTTTTACATCAGGGTTCCTCGGAAGGCCAGCCTGCGTCCTCTCTTCAGTTGCGCTAAGCCGCCATAGAAAGGTAGACAAGAGGAAAAATCAGCTTAATTATATTAAATATAATTAATGATGAAAAGGTAAAAACAAGTTGGTTGGTTTGTTTTCATACAGCACTTAGGCCACCACAGTCACTCCCTAAACATGAAGCTGAATTACACGCTTATCTTTTACTCTGGAAGACGGCTTCATTCCTTTTGATCATGCAGAAGCATCATCATGGTCGGCAGCCTCCTCCCAATCTACTCCTCTCAGTCTGAGAGCCAGCCCTGGAAGGAAAGTAAGGAATTGCTGTTCTCCTTCCTACGCTATTACTTCTTGCCACTGTCCCAGCACCAGCTCTGCACACCTGGTCTGAAGGAGAGTGCAATTCAACAGGCACTACAGTGCTCCTCCGTTACCAGGATGCTTCCAGTCTAAAACTGCCAGCAGGGATCTACACTCACACATTTTCCTCCAGGAGCTCTTAATGGTTTCCAGTTTTATCCAACATCTCTCTCTTAACACAGCCAGAGACCAACCTCATCAACTCCCATCTCTTATACAAATATCTCCATCTGACTTGATTTACAGTTAGAAATCAAGAGCCATTTAGTAATGTCAATCAAAACTATCATCAAAATGGTGCTTAAGACAATGCCCACAGAGCTCAGCGGGACTTTGCTACTCCAGGCATGAAAGAAGCTTTTAAGTAGGAAATGAATAGTCAATATAACTGTGGCGAGATTTCTAGCATTTGCATAACTGATAAGACCATTCAAAGGTGATGTAGCACTAGTCGTATCTGCAGTCATCTTACTGTAACACAGCAATGATGTATGCAGGTGCCACTGGCAGGCACGGAGAAATCACTCCTAATGGAGCAGGCTCTATCAACGAGGAGACACCAAGTTAGATGCTTCCAGGATGATTTTCTTTTTCACAGTCATTCAGCAGCAATATCCATCAGAAAAATCAACAAAATCCCATCTTATGGGACAGTCATTGAGTCAAAGACACATCTCACAGAAATGAGGCTCAAAAGTGGAAAAGCCCCTTGTCTGTTCCATACCAGCAAAATCCAAGTCGTCTGCCAACTCCTTGATGGAGCACTGGCATGACTGGCCAATGCTGCTGTTCTCCTTCCCTTGGCAGACCATATCCCTCCACATCTCTCTCACATGCTCAGCTCAGAAGGAGACTGCTCACAGGCCACGCTCAGGCTTTTGTCTAAATTTATTTCTGATCTTCCTTTGAACTCTCAGAAATGGTAGCATATGATATCTCTACTGAAAAGAGTAATTAATGTCTCCTCTTCTGCATCACTGGCCACTTGACCATATTTTTAAAAAGCTGCTGTCTTACAGCTAAGGGAGCTGAGGCACAGAACAAGAGCTCAGACATCATGACCACAATGCACATTATTGACAGAATCTCAGGGCCTTCCTAGCTCTCCCTGGGGAGGATTCGCATTTCAGCTTGGTGAGGGGGACTCCAGGTAAGAGTCGCCCACACTGTGCCCTTTCTGGTAGCCAAGTCTGAAATGGCCTAGCCAGGAAAGTCCCCATCTGAATCCAGGTTATGTGAGGACCACCAGAGGTTAATGTGAAGGGTATCTGGAGGTAAGTGGATGAAGATGACCAGCTAATGCCTCTTCCAATAAAAGATTTCTTCACTGGCGCAGATAACAGAGGGTGTTATCTGTCTTAAAGCACCAGAGAGCAAGGATTCCTGGTCGCAGGTGACCAAAAGAGAAAAAAATTCATCCTCTGTACAAATACAGCCCAGATACATGATTGATCAGTGCATCATACTCCTTTAGTTTTTGTGTTAGGGTTTTTTTTTTATTTCAAGTCATCTTGGAAAGGTTGAAGTTCCCCTGGGTTTTAGTTTCTTGTTTCAGAGTAACAACATGCATTCAGCATATGTAGCTCAGTAACTGCATGCTGCAAGCTTTTTTATGATTTCAGATGTTGCAAAATAAAAACTACTACGGCACTAAGAATTTTATAAAATTCCAAGAAGATGTTTGTTTCCTCGCTTTTGCTTTTAACAACCATAGCAAGTAATCAAG